GTGAAAATTAAATCTATGTCAGTAGTTTTAATATTAAACATAGCACAGTACCTGACAAATAACAATTCTTGATAAAAGGAAGATCAAAAAAATATTATTAAATGTATAAAATCTAATGAAAGATGTCTGTGACAAAGCTATCTCAATTTACATAAAATTAAGTAAGAATTAAAAGTGAAATTATATTTTTCTGACCCCAAGTTTAAGCAAATAAATCAGAAATTCACATTTTGGAAGAAATGATCATTTTCAAAAGAGAACATAATATAGGAAATACTAACATTTGATGCAAATCACTTAGCATATGATTTCCTTTGTATTGCTAAGTATAAAACACAGAACCTCTTAGTACCAGTTTAAGGATGCAGGTGTTCTTTTAAAATCAACACTTTTAAATTCCTGAAAAGCCAACATTATATATACAATCCTCTCCCTTCCCTATCTCAATCAATTTAAACTTATGGAGGTACTGAGTTAGAAAGATGTTCAAAAAGCTTATGATACATGTCTTCAAGGTCATTGTTATCTAAGAATGTGTTACAAATATTTTGTTATATGGGCCATGTTAGGCAGTCTTATACAACATTTTTAATGCCAAAGTAGGGGCATTGGATGCTACACTTAGTTATGGTGGAGAAGATGGGAATGGTTTCTGCTCAGGTTCTCTACAGAGATTGCTGGAGCCACAGTGGGAAAACAAGCCTTTCAGGTCATCCCACGGTAGACCACAGACCCTGGGTGCTACCTTGTGATATAAAGCTTAATGATGTTCTGTGAGCCAGATCGAGTCGAGTACGTATGTCTGTAATTGTCCCAGAGCTGAGGAGCCTGAGCAAACAGGACATTGTGCTCTAATGAGTGTAGAGTCTCAACATTGTCTTCAAATCCCAAGCAACCCCATTTCAGAAAAGAACTTTAGAAGCTGTGACAAGTAACATCTCCAAGCTTGCTACTATTGTGAGCTGATACTCAAGTTTCCTCTGTACAAAGGAAATGATGGTGACAGGGTTGAGGATGGGGAATGTACAAGAAAATAGTTCATCTTTTTTTTTTTTAACTTGTGGATGGAATATAAAGAGCCTCTCAAAGTCTTGAAAATGCCATGAGCACTGCTAATGTTACAGGGATCAGAATGTGGATACTGCCTACATGAAAGATGTGGGTGTCCTTCAAAGTTCCCCTGCTTAATGTACCTTAATATTAAAACACAGACCAGTACAAATAACGTTATGTATATAATAATGTGATTCAACTAATCAGGGCTGTTCCTAGGCCAGGGCCACCTGAGTGTCATGCAGTCTAGCACAGAAGAGGAGGCTTAGCCCAAGGAACACAGGCCCTGGCACTACCCCTCTCCATTGGATTGAGAAAACCTTCCATATGTCCAGACTACGCTATTGATAGCTTATGGTGAATGATGTCAGATTCGTGATCTCCAAGGAAGATTTAGTTTTGGGACTAGGGGCCAGGCTTGAATACTCAGAGCTTTTGTGTGGCCGAAGTTTTATTACAGTGAAAAAAGACAATGAAGAGCAATGAGAGTGCTCCACTTGCTAGTCTCCTCAACACCTTACATATTTTTACCAGACCCACCCTCTCAACATACATCTTAAATTAACAAGATTAGAACTAACAATGTGAATGTGAAGTCTCTCAGTCGTGTCCGACTCTTTATGACCCCATGGACTATAGCCTACCAGGCTCCTCCATCCATGGGATTTTCCAGGCAAGAGCACTGGAGTGGCTTGCCATTTCCTTCTCCAGAACTAACAATAGAAAGGTCTTACCAGACCACCTCAGTTCAGTTCAGTTGCTCAGCTGTGTCCAACTCTTTGTGACCCCATGAATCGCAGCACGCCAGGCCTCCCTGTCCATCACCAACTCCCGGAGTTTACTCAAACTCAAGTCCATGAAGTCGGTGATGCCATCCAGCCATCTCATCTTCTGTCGTCCCCTTCTCCTCCCGCCCCCAACCCCTCCCAGCATCAGGGTCTTTTCCAATGAGTCAACACTTCGCATGAGGTGGCCAAAGTACTGGAGTTTCAGCTTCAGCATCAGTCCTTCCAATGAACACCCAGGACTGATCTCCTTCAGGATGGACTGGTTGGATCTCCTTGCAGTCCAAGGGACTCTCAAGAGTCTTCTCCAACACCAGACCACCTACTCCCACATAAAGTAACAGAATTTGTCAGAAGGTTCCTGCTAAGAAGGAGAAACATGTCCTTACCAAGACACACTGTTGTTATATAATTAGCACAGAGCTTAAGGGAAAACATACTCGAGCAATATGAATTGTTATGTTGTGTAATCATTATCTCTGGGCTTAAAGGAAATAAATTTATGTCTTATGTGACTAAGACAAAACAGGTAGAAAAAAAGTTTGTCCTTTTCTCCAGCTCCAGAGCCCTGGGCCCTTTCCTCCTTGGGGGCCCTTATTAACCTACCTAAGAATTAACTCTCTCATTTGTCCCTTTTGTGTTTGAGTTTATAAAGTCTTATGATCATCATCTTGATTTTCAAATGTTAAATCTAGAGGATGCCTGAGGGAGGACTTGAATCTGTATCTGCTGAAATGAAAATCAATGGATTTTCTGTTAAAGCAAGGTGCCTTCTACCTCTACCTTCTACTTTCCAAAAAATTATTAAGTTTTAATCTCTATGACAGGCTGTAAGTCTTGTTCAAAGTGTAGGGCTACATCTTTTAGACAACCTCAGATCTGATCTAAAGTTGTAAAGCAAAGACTTTACTAAACTGCTGTTAGTGGGCTGTTTCAAGTAACATGTGTTTCTTAACCATTTTCGGTAAACATAGATGTGTCCAGTAGCCTGTAATAATAACTCTCAATTCTTCCACAATGAGAACCGCCTCTCTGATTTTAAAAAATAATTTTCTCCCTCACAACACCCATATTATAAAATACACCTATTATACAAATTGCATTCACTACCTAAGAATTTGTTTTTATATGAAATGATCTATTAAAGGGTACACAATTCTAAAAGCTAAAAAAAAAAAAAAAAAAAAAAAGATGATAAATGGCAACCAAAATAACACTAACTGTATTTACTAACAGATGATTTACCAACAGTTTGCTTGTGCAGCAAACTCTCATCAGAAAGATCTGGAGTTGAATTCTAGTCCCTCCACTTGTTTTCCATGTTACTTTAGTATCCTGAGACTTATTTTTCTTTTTCAGTACACAGAGTAGTAAATTCAATAATATCCAGTGTTTATAAGGGTATGAATGAGGGAATATAGGAAAATTATCTGGCAACACACTGTCTTTTTTGCATACAGCATCCACTCAATAAGTAGTATTTTTCTCCTGTGAGAAAATATAAAAGCTCGAGAGCATTTCTGAATAATAAAAACAACTCACCGATGAAAATTCCTGAGTTCCTCAGGCTGGGAGACCTCTCTAGATAGAGAGACACAACAGTGTGCATCTACAGTGCCTTCTAGGGATCAATGGAATTCATCATGAGCAGGAAATTGTAGAGACTAGCATTACTATGTGTGTGGTGGGATGTACCTTTCAGACATAAGCTGCTGTCTTTCCTAACAATCTTCCATAGACTCCAAAAGAGCAAGGCTGTCATAGTCTATCTGAAATGTCCTGAGGAGCTAGACACTGAAGGCATAGGTGTGTTCAAGAGACCCCAGGGTCTGGATCAGCCATTTGTGTGAGCCTTTTGTTAGAGAGTGTCCTACCAGATCAGGCATATGGTTGTTCTTCCAAAAGTTGTTAGGTTTGTGTATGAGTGGTATGTGACAGTGACAAAGAAGGAAGCTTCTGTTGAATTATTTTTTTATTCTGTTTATTTTTGGGAAAAACTCGTGCTTTCCTTTCCCACATCCTCACCAAAGTGACTTTGTTAATATTAAACATGTTATACTAAAAACATGATTCAAAAGCAAGATGTATTTCCTTCCTTTTGCTAAAGACTACACGTGGTCATCTAAAGGCAGATCATTAAGAACAGCTTAGACATTATTATTCCTCAAAACCCAAAAGCTTTAAATGTGAAATAAATTATTAGAGGAAGCTATTTACAATTTTATTTTCTTTTTGTTTTTTATTCACAGACCAAAACCACCAACCCAAAATGTTTTTTTTCCCAATGCACAGACTGTGCTCTGATAACAAGCTGGGCACTTCTAGAAGATATTTTAGCTCTATAAAGCCAGTAAAAGGCCATATAGGAAAAAAAAAAAACTAAACATCAGGCTGACTGGTATTTAAGTATTAAGGTCAATTTGTATGTATTTGTTCAACACATATTGAGAATTTCTATTACACTCTTCTAAGAATTCAAGGTTTTCATAATTCTATATCAGATAATATCCACTAGTGAGCAGTCACTGGAGGAACCATAGTATTATTCCACACATAATATTTTTCTGTTCTTCCTCTGCTTTATTCCTTTGTTTCCTGAGAAAATGATATATAAACCATTGATTTTGAGAAATATCAGTATCCTGGAATTCCTTTGCTGAGAGGAAAGATTTCTTGACATTATTTGTTCATTAATAGTATTGAGGATTCTCTGAAAATCAACTCTTGGGAGTTAAATCCCTCAGACTGTGGATATTCTACTTCAAAGGGTATCATTGCCTCCACATCATCAGTCTGCTTTGCTGTGCTGTTCTAATCTACCAAATACTTGGTTTGAGTTCTTCCTATTTATAATAAAGGTCTTTTGTTTACTAATGTTTTGATTTATATCTTAGTTCTTCTACTACAAAATTATAGCTTTGTTATACTTAACAAACTGGAGTCAAAGAATGAAAATAGTTTTGAAATGTTGTAGCCAAAATCTCTCCCTTATTGTTAATAATTATTTCTGATAGTCCTTAGGCCTCAAATGAGCTTTGCCTGCACGGATGTAGACAGCCTGCTTATCCAACAGTGAGTTGAGAGCAGCCTCAGTCTTCCCAGCAAGTAAGAGTGGAGGCTGGTGATGTCCACATGAAAAATAACTCTTTTCTAGGTTTTGCAATGGAACAGATATGGTTGCTGTTGCTACTAACAACTAGAGTGCTTCCGGGTTCTGCTCAGTTCAATGGCTACAATTGTGATGCCAACCTCCACAGTAGATTTCCTGGTAAGTCTGAACCCAGTCTTTTCTCTACTTGTATCTGGAGAGAGTGATTATGTTTAAATAGAAAATGATTTAAATGCATATGTAAAATGAGGGGGATATCTGTCTTTACTAAGTGGATATTAACAAATGGAAAATGACAAAAGACATTTTTCTGAAGTTGTAATTTATAACCACATTAACATATAAAGTGTTCACTGTATTAATTTATATTATTATAATGGCTGCTCACAGATGTGAAAAATATTAGCTAATGATTCATAAAATTGGGAGAGGCTAATGTCATTCAAAATTTGTCTACTTGATGGACTTTTTCTCACAAATTAATTCAGACTTTTAAAATTTCCATTATATTCTAATAGATTTATTTAGGAAGAATACTTAGAAAATGATTGTGAAATATTATACAGTACTCAAACAAAATACTATTTCAGTGAAGTGTTGGTCACCAAAAGTACACAGGCAAGCTTCAGAATGCGTTTCAGAGCAATCCATTAATATTTTGACAGACATGAGACTTTGATCATCTTGATGGGTGTGTCCCACAGGTTGTTAAAATCTGCATTTTTTTAGAGGCAATTTGAGGTTTCACTTAAGCATTCATCTTTTTATATCAGCTGAAGCTATAGAGCCATAGTTCAATATTTACAAAAAAAAGGATCAGGAAATCTAAAACTCTACGTATGCATTGCAAACTGGAATACGTTCTGCCATGTTTTACGTGCTCCTGTGTTTGGAGCATAGCAGAGCAACAGCACCTACACAGCGATCAGCAGGTAGTTATTTAGTTGATGTGACGTTTCTAATTTATTGAGCACAGGTAATCCTGCCTGCTCCAGAATAAAGAAAGAATATGTAGAAATATCTTCATGAGCCCAGATCTAGTATGAGACTCTTTGGTAGGTTAAGTAAAATAAGGAATTCAGGATGGGGAATGTCGAAAAGCAAGTCTACAAAGGTAAGTTCAGGCAGGGTTCTTAATGATTTTGAATACACAAATGATAGGATTTTTTTTTTAACCTCTTTACTATGGAAAATTTAAAATATATTCAAAAGTAGAGATTAGTAAAAAAAACAACCCGTAGTAATCATCCACCTTCATCAGTTGTCAGCATTTATACATTTTGTTTTATGTGTCTTTCCTACTACTCCCATCTCTAAAATATTTTAAAATAAATTCATTTTTCATGTTTCATTATATATAAGTGAAAAGAACTTTAAAAATCATTACACTTATTTGTTTAATAAACTTAATAATAATTCCTTAATATCATTCAATATTCAGCCAAGTTGCCTCTAAATCAATATGGTACATTTGTTGATGCATTTCTTGAGTCTGTTTTAATTTATAGCATGCCTTAGCTTTTCTAAAATGCCATTTACCTCTATAAGTAACTTGGTCATTTGTTTCTTAGAATTCCAGCACTCTGGATCTGGTTGACTATAACTCCTTTGTGTCATTTAACATGCTCCTCTTTTCCTATATAACCTGCTAACTGATTAGAGTTAGAGATTTGAATAAATAAATTCAGGTTCAGTTGTTTTGGCAAAAGTAATTTGTGTGTTATTTGTGTAATGAAAGTGTTTCAACTTTATTTTGTAGGCCATGAAGAGCCATTGCCTCTTTTTAAACCCACCTTTTTAAGGATTTTATGGGGTCACATCTTATTTGAGAAAGTAGACATTGGGGAAAAGTGTGAAGGACAGAATCAAGTGAAAAGAGACTAGTGGCAGAGAGAAATGTCACAAAGGCAGTGGCAACGGAAGCAAGTATTCAGAGATACAGGGTTATGTGGTGGATACATCAGAACCTGAGAACTGATTTGATTTGGAGGTGAGCCAAGGAGAAGACCAGAGGGTGTTTTGAAATTGAATAATTCAGTGTTGATACTGTTAACTGACCCTGAGAGCATAGGGCATTTGCATGTTTTAGAAAGGAAGTTTGGATTTGAGAAGAATGGCTTTGAGGTACTTTTAGAATGTAGGGAGGCAGCCTCTACCCAGAAGTAGGAAACACAGACCTGGTCTGAGGAGAGAGGCTGGAGACTGAAAGAAGCGGTGTGAGAGTTGGATTCCTGGGCAGCGAGTGAACAGTGAAGGAGAGACAGGAGAAGGGAGGAGGAGAGGTGTGGAAATACACTGCGCTTTCAGTAACTTTGGGGGTGCAGGAGGAGGGGGAAGGAGCTGAGCTCATGTTCACGAGTGAAAAAAGAGGGTTTGCGGATTAGAGGGCTAGAGACACCTAATCTATTACGTAAGAATATGAATCCGCAAAGGGGCAGGATTCAGAGCCTGGGAATCCTAACAACAAAAACAAAAATACTAGCCAAGTATATACATGAGCAAAGGGAAAGTATGCAGAGGCTGGAATACTAACAAAGAAACACCTCATGTAATGAGGACAGAAAATATGGAAGAGCTCAAAAGTACAGGTGGAGGAGTTCACTTTGGAAAGGTGGTAGCTATGTATTTGATTTAGGAAAGAAGAGAAATAAGAGATCCTGGCGGAGAAGTTTACAGGTTCTAGTTGTGTTCATCTCCTCAGGGAAGTGGGAGGTAGAAGCCCTCAGACAGGGAGGGGCCATAGGCCTCGCTGAGGCCTGGCAAGGGGAGTCAAGTCTTACTCTATTATGGATGGAAAAGAAAGCCAAAATGTAGCAAGATTGCTCAGTAGAGAGAATATAGCTGATGTGGTAGTTATTACACTTGTAAAGATAAATTGAACATGTAAATGAGCCAAGGAGTGACTAGGACAGCAAAAGGAAGTATTTTTCATGTGGTAAATTTTTAAAATGGTGTGGAAGCTTCCATCTACAATAGCACCTTCTGATCACCAGCATCCAAATCAGCTGAGATAGTTGTTATGTTTGGACTGTATCACTTCACCCCAGCTGTGCTGTGCTGTGCTTACTTGCTCAGTCATGTCTGACTGTTTGCGACTCCACAGACTGCAGCCCACCAGGCTCCTCTGTCCATGGGGATTCTCCAAGCGAGAATGCTGGAGTGGCTTGGATGGGATCTTCCCAACCCAGGGATCGAACCCAGCTCTCCTGCACTGCAGGCAGATTCTTTACTGATTGAGCAACCAGGGAAGCCCTTACCCCCAATATGTAGTATCAGAATCTCTGACTGTAGTACTGGGAATTTTAAAAAAATCCTGCAGATGAGTCTCATGTGCATTATGATTGAAAACAATTGACAGTGTGTCCTATTATTGAGTCCATTATTCCAGACAAAAGAATAATCATGTATTAAGGAAATATAACTAAAAACAAAATCTCCTCCCAACCCAGAAATCCTTTCCACTAACATAGCAGACATGAAAATACTCATTGAATTAGCATTAAACCAGAATATGATGTTCGATACAGGCAATTCACTGAAAGTGAATTGCAGAAGGAATCTCACTCTTTTACATAGTCAAGCAGAGACAGCAAATTATATGCATATTTTCAAAATAAGTAATAACTGTCCTCAAGTAAGAGGGCTTGGCAGCACCTTTTGTCATATATAGTTCATCCTGAATTTACCTGGTTATTGGGGTGACCATTCATGCTAGTGTATTAGCTTTACCCAGAGAAAAAATAAAATTCTCACATCTTTATGAAAGGAGGTACTTTTGCAATTTGAAGCGAGGTTCCAACTGAAGTTAGGCTCCCAGCCTTCCCAGACTGTGATATAAGGGTAGTACTTTCCTTGATGTTTATATTTCTAAGAGATAGTTCCCAAGTCCTTGAAAAACATGTCCCTCAGTAGTAAAGCTAATTTTCAAAAGAATTTATATACATTTCATGAACATGAGAAAGTACTTATGTGTTTTCTGATATAAATGATCTCTTTATTTTCAACAGGGAAAATTAAAATTTGTATTTGTTCTTACACATTTTAGCACTATTATTTCTTTATTTATTTTTTTGGTTTTGTTTTGTTTTGTTTTAATTTTATTTTATTTATTTTTTTTTTAAGTGAACTCTCCTAATTTTAATTTTTTTTTTTTGTAAAATGCTTTTTTTTTACATGTATTCCCCATCCCGGTCCCCCCTCCCACCTCCCTCTCCACCCAATCCCTCTGGGTCTTCCCAGTGCACCAGGCCCGAGCACTTGTCTCATGCACCCAACCTGGGCTGGTGAACTGTTTCACCCTAGATAATATACGTGTTTCGATGCTGTTCTCTTGAAACATCCCACCCTCGCCTTCTCCCAGAGTCCACAAGTCTGTTCTATACATAGGAGTCTCTTTTTCTGTTTTGCACATAGGGTTATCATTACCATCTTTCTAAATTCCATATATATGTGTTAGTATACTGTAATGGTCTTTATCTTTCTGGCTTACTTCGCTCTGTATAATGGGCTCCAGTTTCATCCATCTCATTAGAACTGATTCAAATGAATTCTTTTTAATGGCTGAGTAATATTCCATGGTGTATATGTACCACAGCTTCCTCATCCATTGGTCTGCTGATGGGCATCTAGGTTGCTTCCATGTCCTGGCTATTATAAACAGCACTATTATTTCTGTTGAGCTTAGACAACAAGTATCCACACCACCCAAACCTATGCATACACACACATATTGTTGCAATTTATTATTATTATTATTTTTCATTTATTTTTATTAGTTGGAGGCTAATTACTTTACAATATTGTAGTGGTTTTTGCCATACATTGACATGAATCAGCCATATTGTTGCAATTTAAAATTTATATTAAAAAATATCTAAAATTTGATAAATTAGAAAGCACAGGAGAGGCTTTAGTTATATGGATATTCTTTTCAAGAATTTTTGCAGCCCAGTTTTTAAGCCAATTTTTGCAGATTGCTTGCAAAAGAAGATCAGAGTGAATAAATAAAGCCTGAAGGTTAATGGCTCACTTCCCTCTTGACTTGTGGCTTCTCTTCCACATCAAGATCACCCTTGATGTCATCAAGAGCTCCACAAGCTGCTCAGATGCTAAGCAAAGGCCTAGAATGAGAATGAGTCTGGCAAAGGAAGGAGCTATCT